ATTAAGTTACAGGGATAAAATGAAATTAAAGGGTTAGATCAGGTAGAAATAGCTCCCTAAGATAACATTTGCAGGTTTGCACTTCTTAATAGTTTACCATAGATTTTACAATGTATTTTTTTCTCATCATACTTATTTTGGTCATTTTACAGCCACACTCTTTTGAGGCAGTGCCCCAGCAAACGCCTCACATTACCAAATAATCCGCGCCAAACATCGGAACCGACCAAGGCCCTCAACAAGATTTTTTCTCCAATTCTCGGCCTAAAACTCCTGTAGTGTGAGCCCAGCTTAAGAGCTGCTAGCAAAGAGTTAGAGTGTTTGCATGTGTGCAGTAGACATCTTCATTCAGCAAACCACAGAAGATTTTTCCTCAAGGACAAGTAAATCATTTGCACTGCAACATGCATTTCAGACACAAAATAATATCTACAACAGTTCTCCACAATCCACTTCACAATGACCATATACAGTGGCTAAACACTCATGAGGTTGATATTAACTTGAAAAGCCGTCAAGCTAACCCTTTAAATCAGACATGTGCGTTCCACCCTATGGCGAAATCCAATCTTGAGAGTAACACAAATACATCATCACAGTTTAAGTTTATTTAGCCTACTGAAACCTCACAGGAGCATACAGATCTACCATAGCAATGAAGCTTTGACATGAAACATCAGCACTACATGTTTCTCATCTCAAAATCACATGGGAACTGAAAACCTTACAATTACTTCCCTAATTTAACACTGTAATATATTGTGGTCTCATAAATCAACAATGAATTGAACACTCCACACAACTGTGCTGTTCATTCTGTCCAAGCATATGTTTACTGGCTGCCTGAGGGACCATATGCTGTGAGCTTATCATTTCAAAGTAAACAGACACATACAAGGAACTAGGAGTGGGCGATATGGCAAAATCATATCCAATTTTTTTTTTTCAGGAAAATCATGATTTTATCAACTCTTGTCATGTTGGTTTTACCATTTTGCAAGTTGTCTGAGCAGTACAACCAAGTAATTTCCCTATTTTAAAAACAAAGCCTTACAAGGTAACAAAATATAAAGTAAAATAGAATGGCATGGCAGATATTTAGGCCAAAGTAGGCGAAGATAAAAATCTTTGTCATTATTTTATCTTTGTGATTAAAAAATAAGAACAAAGATACATGTTACAAATACACATAATATACAAATAAAACAAACAGTGCTTTATTTTTCAGGTACAGTAGGTGTATTTAGCAGTTGCGTTTTTCAAGAAACTGAATGAACAAATATAAAAATAAAGCACTATATACACATCACTGTATAAATTATACATTGATTCTTATTAAAGCAACTGCATTACAGTTCTTAAGTTAAGAGCAGCGAGTGATTTTTCTCTTTTCTCTTTCAAAAATGAAAATTCTGTCATCATTTGCTCACTCTCAAGTTGTCTTAAACCTGAATGAGTTTCTTTCTTCTGTTGAACACAAAAGTTATTTTGAAGAATGTGGGTAACCAAACAGTTGCTGGCCCCTAGTGACTTCCAAACTAGTATATTTTTTTTCTACTATCAAAGTCAGTGGGGACCAGCAACTGTTTGGTTACCCACATTCACATGAAAAATGACTTAAATTTAGTCTGTTTCTTTAGACAGGTAAACTATCAAGAAGGGTCTGTCTGTTTCCCACAGTATGTCTGTCTGTTTCTGTCTCCTGTGAAGACAAAAAAGGTCAAATGGATGTCATAAAACAATATTTAAGTAAATTTATTTTATTAAATGTTTGTAAGGCTTTTTATATATATTAGGGGTGTCATGGTTCAGATTGGTTCGGTTCATACCAAGAACACCGCGCTACATATCGTGGGTGGTGTATTGTGTTTTTTTTTCCGTTTCGGCATATACACTGGTGTGAAAAAGTGTTGGCCCCCTTCCTTATTTCTTTTTTTTTTTTTAAATGTTTGCATGTTTGTCACACTTTAATGTTTCAGATCATCAAACTAATTTAAATATTAGTCAAAGATAACACAAGTAAACACAACATGCAGTTTTTAAATGAAGGTTTTTATTTATTATAATTAAAACAAAATCCAAAACTACATGGCCCTGTGTGAAGAAGTGTTTGCCCCGTGTTAAAACTGTGGTTTATCACACCTGAGTTCAATTTCTCTAGCCACACCCAGGCCTGATTACTGCCACACCTGTTCGCAATCAAGAAATCTCTTAAATAGGACCTGCCTGACAAAGTGAAGTAGACCAAAAGATCCTCAAAAGCTAGACATCATGCCGAGATCCAAAGAAATTCAGAAACAAATGAGAAAGAAAGTAATTGAGATTTATCAGTCTGGAAAAGGTTATGAAGCCATTTCTAAAGCTTTGGGACCTCAGGAAGGGGGCCAACACTTTTTCACACCACTGTATATATCTTTTGAAGTATGAAATGACAGCTAATAGTGAAACATAAAATAATTATACAATCAAATGCAGACTTATTGTATCGTAATTCTCAAAGTCTTCCCCCAACCCTATACCCAAACCTAACCCTACACCCTTCAATAAAATGAAAATAGTGATCTACATATGGGATACGATCAGCATATCTTATCACTAGATGGCAATAGTGAAGCATAAAAAGCAAGGAAAGTAAACACAGGAGGAAGTAAAGAAGAAAGGAAAGAAGAAGAGTAGCACTAATGACAACATCAGTGGCCCTTTCTCAAATGGGACACTTCATGTGAACTTGCAGACTTGTGGACTTACAATGGCCAGAGTGTGCATGTGTCTGTTAAGTCCACGACACCATAGGGTGTCCCATTCATCATTTTAGGTTTCAGAAGGGTGCTCGTCAACACCCCCTTTGTGGCCACTATGTGCCCTCAAATGTACACTTCTACCCGATAGTCAAAGTGGCATTATGTCACGAAAGTGTGTAATCAAAGGAAGACTGTGAGGGCTTAGGGTACCATCAGTCTGAAGAGATGTTTCTTTGTAGGGAGCATAAGTTGTAGTAGCAGGCGTAACTTGTGGGGCTGTTGTTTGTAGTACTGCAGGATGCAGTCAGATGCACTTTGATTTGTCTTAATTGGAAACTATTCAACCATTTTGGTATCTGATCATGAATATTTTGTTCATGGTGTGACATGTGAAGAACCAGAGGATAAAGACATTTGCTGTAGGCTAATTGATTTGTAAACAAAGTCAGATGAAGCCATTACCGTATTGACCCGAATACAAGACGATGTTTTTTTCTTGGAAATACATCTGAAAAAACGTGGTCGTCTTACATTCAGGGTCTAAATGTCCTATTTCAGATGGGCTACCGTTTTTTTTTTTTTTTTTAATGGTATATCAAAAAGTGTATATTTTTTAAATGTGATTGTTCGTACATTTTACCAGTTTTTAACCATACTTTCAAAACAAAAATTTAAATAGGAAAAATATGCAATATGAAAAATAATTGAATACAAAATGTGTTTTACTGAGAAAAAAATAGATTTGGTTTTTAAAAAGCCTTTTTCCAAAAGGTACATCTGGAAAAAGGGGGGTCGGCTTATAATCAGGGTCGTCTTATATTCGGGCCAATACGGTATTATTTTTTCCTTCTTATTTACCGGTAAGAACAATGCAGACTAATTTAAAGGTGTGGACTTTTGCCTATCAATTCATAAAGAGATCAATGATCAGTTCATTAAATGAAAAAATGGGCATCAGAATCACCCAAAAATAAAACCTCATTTTAGTACTCCTTCTGAGAAATACAAAGATGTTGAAAAATGTCTCAGTATTTTTGTCCATACAATGAAAGTTAATGGGGTTCAATGCTGTTTGAACCTCAGGATTATTCAAAATATCTTCTTTTTAGTTCCACAGAAGAAAGAAAGTCATACAGATTCGGAATTACATGTATATGAGTAAATGACAGAATTTTCATTTTTGGGTGAATAAACCCCTTTAAGGCAGTAAGATTTCACCTGTTCTGACTTCAAGTATCGATATGATGTCATAGTTATTACTCTCTTGTCTTGACTAATCAGGATGTCCATGGATTCTGTGACTTCATAATAACTGATTTGTCATCAACATTCATGATCCAATCCAATTCAAGATATTGAACCAAAGCATACAGTAACTTTTAAGTACAGATGGTTGAATACAGCAAACCATCTGTACAATCCTAAAAACAATGCACACCTCCAACAATTCATTTCAATAAATGGATCAGGTAAAAAAACAACCATGCATGGAACAGCTTCTTATGCTGTACAGTTTTCTGGAAATTTATTTTGTCATTTTACTACCCAGTTGCTAGGAACTATAAAACACAAGAAAGATGCGTTTTTTTTTTCCAAAGAGGAAACTTTGTGGTGCACACTCAAACACCTATCTTTAAAGGCCGGGGGTCATCTGAGAGCATTAAGTTTTTGTACATCTAAATCCCAGTACTACCTCAAACAAATCTCCCTCATTAAATCTCTATTAAAAAAAAGTGTAATGAATACTAAACATGATACAGGGTTGCAATATTCACACACCCAACCCTCTGTGAGGTTCTCCCTTTCATTCTGCAGCCACCTTAAATTTTCAGCCTCAGTGCCCAAACAAAAAAATGAAGGAAAAAAAGGAGGGGTCAGGTTTAAATTATCCAGTGTTGAATGGTGGATATATGCAATGTGAGGGAATTTCCTGCAAAGGCCAATCAATTCTAGCTGACCTACTGATCCCAGAAAGCCATTAGAAACGTAGGGTGCGTCTAAAATCGATCAGTGGGCTATGGATCATAATTTGGAAACCAGATTAAGGCATTGTTCCAGTCATCAAACCTCCATATCCCTGCATCCAAGCCAAACGGCCAAATATTGTTACCCTCTTGTTATAATCACATGGTTCCTATGTATTATCCCTATATTGAGCTTGTGTTTCGAAGAGAGGCTGTTATAATCCAAATGTTTGATTCAAGGGCAGGCCACGTGGTTTATACCGACGCGGGACAAAAAGTAAACACAGTTACTCACCTTATTAGAGTATGGTTGCCTGGCAAGGTTTATCCCGTCCCTAATGAGTTTATCCCTGATCATGATCTTCAGCTTCAGCTTGGGGTAGATTTCCAGCTCCTTGCGGTTCCCCAGCGTCAGATTCCTGGACGCCCCCATGTACCCCACGCTGCGCGCCGCTCTATCACTGCTCGGCTCAGTCCATGACCTGGAGCCCCGCAGCCTAGGCTCATATTGCTCTGCCATGCGACTCGTGTATATAGGTGAGACCGGAGGCATCGGCTCCAGGGTGAAATAAAGCCCGGTGGCTGTCTCCTTTTCGTGATCGTTTAACCTTTGCACTGCATCGTGAATCCGCTGGCGGTGGTGCGGAATGAACACCCCGATGGCATCCAAGTCCGGGTCTCCGATTTGTTTGCAAACTTCCAAGTCGTCGTATCCGTTATCCACAAAAGCCTCGACATACTGATACAGCTGAAGGGTTTTCAGCCATTCGTAGACGATGTTGGGTCCGTTAGTCATCATTTTGAACGGCGTTTAAGCGTAAAGGTGCGTTTACCTTTATAAGCAGGTGACTGACAGCGCGTGCGCCTGCGGTTTACGTGAATATCCCAGTCAAAACGTCATCTTCGTTCAGCATTCCTCTCCACGTTTTGAAAATATCGACGAACCCATAAATGTTAAACAGACGGTGCTGGGCACTTCAGCGTTTATTAATACTGAAAATGTCGAGACCCATCAACTTGGCATTGCCGTACACTCCACAACTACCGCCCCCTTTCGCCGCGTTTAAAGAGCCATTCACCGGCAACAGTTAGCGTCAGAAGTGGCTATATTGATCACCATCCACAAAGACTACATTTCCCCCGTTTATTTCAACTGTTCGAGCAGTAGTGCCATGAATAAACGTGAATATCACGCACCGCGTAGATTACCAATGGTCTTCTCCGGCGCTCTCACGAGACCGTCCTTCCCTTGTGTCTGTCAGTACGGCTTAAAGCCAACTCTTTTCCTCTCTGAAGACAAATGAAACCGCGTCTCTCCGGTTTGGAGACGAGCACATGTGGTTTCAGACTTCTTGCCACTATTTGCTGAGCAGCGTAATCGCGTTGGCGGCGCAAAAAGATTGTTTTTTCTCAGCTAAGCGACGGTTGGTGAGCAGACACGGTTTGAATCTGGGCACGCGCTGTCAAACCTGTCAGTTTGTCAAAGTTTGAGGTAAATGAAACCCTCGCATATCGCTTCTTAAAACAGATAGGCGGAATTTATTTCCGTATTGTTTTAATCCAAAACTTTGTGACTTGAATTTTTGCCAAAGCCGGCTTAAAGCCAACTCTTTTCCTCTCTGAAGACAAATGAAACCGCGTCTCTCCGGTTTGGAGACGAGCACATGTGGTTTCAGACTTCTTGCCACTATTTGCTGAGCAGCGTAATCGCGTTGGCGGCGCAAAAAGATTGGTTTTTCTCAGCTAAGCGACGGTTGGTGAGCAGACACGGTTTGAATCTGGGCACGCGCTGTCAAACCTGTCAGTTTGTCAAAGTTTGAGGTAAATGAAACCCTCGCATATCGCTTCTTAAAACAGATAGGCGGAATTTATTTTTATTTTAATTTATTAACTTTGTGACTTGAATTTTTGCCAAAGCCGAAGAAGGTAAAGGTGCGCGCGAGCTGCGGTGTTGAGGTAACGTTAACGGCACTGGCTGCTGTCTGTCTGTCTGTCTGTCTGCTATGCGTGTAGGTCTCCTCTGTGCTGCTGGAAGAGGATTTCATTTAGAAGCGCTGCTGTACGTGGTATTCACTTTATGGTACAGTCGTATGGTGCCCCCTGCCTTAAAATTGGGCAATACATATATATTGGGCTAGAAAAAACGCCAATGTACACATCATATTAAGATTGTTACTAGTAGCCTATGTAGCATATTAAAAAATAAAAAGTAGAAGAAAAACGTATACGTAAAAACGGTCAACTCTAATAAATGAGTTTAGTATGGAGGACTAAAATTACTAAAACAAATAAAAATAAATGTAAATATAAATATTAAAAATGACAAAAGCGCATAACAAAATGATTAAACTAACATAAAAATAAAAACTGTAAATATTATAATTGTAGGTTATATAAATGATACTAAAATAACCTGTTTTAATACTGCAGTTGGCAATTGGAGAAAACATTCATATTCATAATATTATAATGATAGGCGAATTCAGGTTGGTTGGGACACTCCCAGTCAATTAAATTGCAAAATGTGTCCCAATCAACCTCAGTTGACCCCTATATGTTAATACAAAATGCATACTGTTAAAATTGTGTTTCTTCAAACTGAGAAATGTTTATGCTGTTAAAATGCTTTTTATTAAAACGTTTTTCATTGTGTTGTTTCAAATTAGATCTGATTTTTAATGCCTTCATCATGAACTCCTTACTAAAACCAGAGTCGTGCCTCAGTGCAGTTTGATAAACATTTTTCCTTGTATTACTACCCCTCCTTGAGGTCTTTTATAGTATAACAACATCCTTTTCATATCTTCTCACTGCTTTGAGATGCTATATCAATACTGATCACATTTCCATGATCAATAAGGGTGCGTTCAGCAAAAGTGAGACAAACAAGTTTCCTTTTTTCTTTCCCCTTTAAAGATCTGTAGGATGTAACGATCATTATTAATTGCCACAAAGGTCTTTGTCTTTCTGACAATCATATAATTGATATCACTGTAGTGGGTATGGTCAGGCTGCAACATCCAACTAATCACAGGCAAAGGGTATGCTCTTCTTAAACAAAAGTCTTTATAAGACATACAAAAAAATAATTCTGATATGTTTAATAAAATGGGACACTTTTAAAAATGTATTTAAGTACTAGAACCATGAGCAAGACAACAAAGGAAAGAATTTTAAATCGTTTTATTTTCCATTGCACAGTAATCTATCTACAGAAATTCTAAATTGTTTGTGGCAGCAGATAGTCATAAACATCCATGTGAAATTTGCATAAAACTGTACAAGAAATTGGCTACAATGAGAAAATACTGCAACCCACTGATAACCATTATATTCAGGACAGAAAATGAATGAGGCTCTTCTGCATGTTAAAAGTGTAATATTTCAGGTAAGAATGTTCTGTCTGAGACAAATAAAACAATTCACTTAAAGTCAACATGAAACATTACAAAATGAATAAATAAAATTAAAGCCAAGAAAGCAACAAGAACCTTTTTTTCCCCCTCCTTAGCCATTAAAGATTACAAAGGGCTCACATTAAGAGTCAGTCTGAAACAGACATGAATGAACTGAAGGTGTGATCAACAAATTCTGCTGGAGTTTGAACACTTATTATTGACATTTACAGCATTACAGTTCAACACGGCTGATTGGATACTTTATCGAATGACTGACAAAATAGCAACCTAGAACATCAAATATTTCCTGGAATCATCTCGTGAGTACATGAGCCAACATCTTGAAAAATAATTTTTGGTTTTGAATTGTATCAACCATGTCGGGCCAAAAATGTATTTTCGAACACGCATAATCAAATGTATGGCATTTCTTTTAATGAACCATACTTGTATGCAAGAATTTCAAGGAAACGCTCACTCATGTTTCATTCAAAAATCACCCGTTGTGTCAATGATGGCATGAACAAACAGACCACAACAGAAAACAAAGACATGAAGACAAGTAACAGAGTGCAATGAGCTCAAAGTACGTCCTCCTCAAAGCATATATAAAAATATTTTTTTTAATAATAGATGATTAAAAATATGACAAGGATATCTATTCAGGGAAATACAGTACTGCAGAGAAAAATACACATCGTACAAATATAATTGAATTAGTTAATCAGGAGAGATGGCATACGAGCGAGATATTGAAAAACAAACCCGTTCTTCAGAAACACTAACACTATGGCATGAAAACACATCTACAGAGAATATAGAGTCCAACACAGAGAAACATTTAGAGTCTGAGAGAGATTGGCTTGGTTTTGTTTTGTAATTCTTTTCCCCCCCATTTTACTTTGTTTGAAGTACGGCATACGAAACACACGAAAGGCAGACTAGCACAGCCAAAAACATCAGAAAAGTCCTCAACACTGTTACTGGTGGAATATGAGGTGGTACTTCAGACACAAACAGCAGTCGAACAGTCAATGGAATACAGAACTCAATGAAAGAAAATCTTTGGCGTTTGAAAAGATATGGCATCTGTCTTAGGGTCAGTATGGCCAGGACCACTTGCAATTTATGCTCCCAGATTGTCGAACTACTTCTTCATTCATAGAATGGCAAAAAACTTTGGGCAGAGAGGCAAGTGAGAATCAGTACCTGGAACGACAATGGATCATGTGATCAATGCAACATATATAGCAGCATTTCTTGCAAACCATCTTGCAAATAAATATAATGGCACTAAAATGTGGTTTCAAGGGAGAAATGGGACAAGAAAGACATTTTCTGTAAGTTTTTTTTTTTTGTATTTAATGTTACTAAATTCTATAGTTATCTGGTTTTGTAACACTCATTGTAGGTGTTTTCACAGATGAAGATGTAATTGAAGTATGTTCTGTGCCATTGCATTACACATGAAGCACCAGAGTGAAACCAGATAGAAACATGTTATACTGACATTCAGAACTACAATGAATATTCCAAGTCAGTGAAAGCGTTCTCAAGTCACCAGAGATTAGAGCTGGAAAACCGGTCCAAATTTCCAGGCATGAAAAGAGTTGTTTCCAACAGTACAGTAAGTGCTTTTTATTTAACAAATAAAATGTGGACCAAAATATTAACTTAAGTACAATCTCTACATGTTCAACTAAAGCGTCTTATGTTCAAGCGGTTTAATCTATGCAGTATGCAGGAATGAGAAAGCTGGTCTAATGGGCAAAATCAAATCCCAGAGTCAACGCCGAAGAGACTGTGATGTAATTTTCAGTCACAACAAATGCTCTAGCTGTTTAGGTCTATATGGCTGTCTACCCAACAAAACATGGATAACTTTAAACCTTGTATTTGTACTTTCTTTCACAACTCAGTCCAGACCAGATTTTTTTCAGCACGGAGTTTCATAGAAAGTTTAAAACATCTGTATAATGTATCACATGAAAATACCATCATTAAATCACTCACAGTTGGTTTATAAATAGTTATTTCATAATTCATTCATTTACCACATAGATCTGTCGATTCATTCTCTGGATCATGTCAACTTATTATAAACCCTCTAGATGGTACTTTAATGTAAAGCATTATTGTAGTGATATTCACAATAATTCCGTAAAAATATCACCCAAAAAGCATTTTATATTTAATTAGACATTTACAGTTGATTTTACAGATTATTTCTAGTTTGTTGCTAAATAAATAAATAATATTAAAATGGTAATTAAACCAAATGGGTAATTTAGGGAAATTGACAGAAATACACTGAATACATTTTTGGAGAAGGGCGATGTTCTCTCTTCTGAAAGGTTTGACTCCTCCACGTTACGACATCCTTTCCTGTGAACAGAGCTCTCCCGTGCTTCACCTGGTGTCTTCATATTTCAGTTTTCCTTATGACAGTCAATAGTGAATATGGCATTTTTACAGACTTTAATTGAGATTTATATAGAATTATGTATATATACTCTTTTATTTTCTTTTTTTTTTTTTTTTTTTAGATTTTTATGATGTTTGTTGTTTAGTTATTGTATTTTTTGTTTAGTCTGTCTTTTTTGACTATTTACTGCTCTCTGATGCGGGAGGCAGGACATGATTGCAAAAAACTACAGCACGAAAACAATTCAAAGACTGAGAGAAGAAATGGAATTTCAGGGCGTGCAAAGCCCAGCCGTCATGAGAGAGGATTGGCGCTATTAAACAAACAAACAAAAACCGAAGAGTGGACGCCATCGTGGTATGGTATTCCTCAGATTGGGGCTGCTCTCAGTCTGTGCTGCAGTTCTGTAAGCAGACTGTATTTAACATTGTGCTAGGAAAGAGCGAGGGATCCCACTGGTCCAGCAGAGGAGAGATAAAGACAGGAGTGGAAGAAGGATTACAGATGAACAAGGCTGTGTAGGAGAACTCCTGAGTCCCTTTGGGCTCTGCTTTTTTGCGGAGATCAGAACTGGTACCATTTTTTATCCTTACACTTTAGCATCTTCTGCAACAGGGAGCAAAGACAGTAAAAAGAAGAACTAAGTTAGAGACGCCAGCTGCACTGCCACAATGATTGTAATGCACATAAAATGAATTTATGTAATACATAAATGTTTAGCTATTTTTAAGAAGTGATTCATCTGTTATTGGCGTCAATGGTGGTAATGCTGTACCTCATGAGCGTGTTTGGAGAATGAGTCAGCGCTGGCCATCATGGCTGCCGTCCGCTCTTCCACCTCACTCAGTTTTTGCCCTCTCTCATCCAGCGCTATCCGAGCTCGAGCTAGATCACCCACGATGCCTGACGCTGCCCCCTTCATGCCTTCTATACCCCCAGGACCTGGAATGTGCTGAGCGAGACTGCGTGGTGCTTTTCCGGCTCCTGACTCGCCGACTGAAACACAAATACAGAAGCAGAGTGTGAAAAGAAGAGGAAAGAATACTGCAAATGAGGTGACAGCACAACAGAACACAAATGAGCACTCTGTTACGACAACATAGTGAAGATGCCATTTTTGAGAACAGAGCTCATTAAGATGGCAAAGAGGCACAGTACAGTAGGCTAGATGTCACAGTTGTCACCAGTGTTATTTTTGCATTATTTATTATACAAAAAATATATATATAATATATATATATATATATATATATATATATATATATATACATTTTCAGTTTTAGTAATTTAGCTATTTTAGTCATTTTAAGTCATTTTAGTAACTTCCTTCACCTTATTTTAGTTGACAAGACCACATTTCTAATTTTCTGTTTAAGTTTTTTTAAGTTCAAGATTTTCATCTATTTATATTTTATTTAAATTAACAAAAACTTTTTTTTTTGTATTTTTAGTTAACAATAACAATATTTGTTGGCACAAGGTCTACAGTATATCTCAGTAAGTAGATTTTATGTCAAAATTTCTCTATGCAGTATATGTAATGTATGTGATTGGTTGGTTTCAAATGCCTTGTTCAAAACCCTGTTGTATCTTAAAGGTGTCATAGGATGCCCATTTTCCACAAGTTGATATGATTCTTTAGGGTCTTAATGAAAAGTCTGTAACACAGTTTGGTTAAAATTTCTCAACGGTAGTGTAAAAAACACCTTTTTTACCCTGTCAAAAACAGCTCTTTTCAGAGCAAGCCGTTTTGTAGCATTTTCCTTTAAATGTTAATGAACTCTGCTGACCCCGCCCCTCTCTGAGGGACTGTTTACTTTAGCAGCATTCATCCTGAAACTTGCTAACTAGCACATTATTAGGAAAGGCGATTTGCAAAGATTTGTTAAAAAACCTTATACTCACTTCTTCTGTAGGTCAAGCTGGATCACGAATGATTCGCGCGAACTTAGACGCATTTATGTAGATCGGGGGCGCATTCCCTTCAAAAACAAATGTAATCCATTGTGTCTTCAGCGGCTCAGATGTTGGGAGTAAACGACGACTGCTATGTTCATTACTACATCCAACAACAGAACACCTCAATCGCTTAGGAGTCATTCTTGTCTACATCTGCTCCAGCGGTGAAACAATGGCGGACTGATGACAGCTCACTCAGGGCGGGTCTAAAGTAAGACGCCAGTCCAGTCTGTGCTGAAACGCTACTGTCAATCAAACTATCGTGGGAGGGGCCTGTTTTTGTGACGTCACACAGACAGGCATCTGAGATCGGCTCGATTTGAGAAAGGGGTACATATTTTAGTAGATTAACAAAAAACCACTGGGTGGATTTTTATCATTATAGGGTGGTTGTGTACACACACTGCCAACACACATTTCAGTTCAAACAACTTGTAAAAGTGCATGTAGCATCCTATGACCCCTTTAATAATTTCTGTGAATCAATCAATAATCATTATATTTTTGTAATAGCTGTTGGGTAAACAAGTGAACACCACACACAATAAAATACACTGGCCTACATGCCAGTTATTTTATATGTTTAATGAATCTCAAGTTGCCAATGTGTTTTAGATGCTGTAATTTTGTTGAATGTATTAATAATAACAATTTAACAATGACAATAGCAACAATTTTGGCTTTTCAATGGCTGTATCCATTGTGTCTGGGCAATAATTTGTGCCTACTGAGAATCTGACTTACAAAAATTAACCTACTCTGAAAAATATATTTACTGGAGTAAAAACACAACTGTGACAACTAGCTCCAGTCTCCCCACATCTAAATGGTCATCTCTCTGTTTGTGGTCTACATTTCTACCACATTGTCTTTGCTGTGATACTTCAATCAAGAATCTGAGGGTAAAGAGCAGATAATAAAAAAAGAACTCACAGAGCTCTTCTCTGTCTAGAGACTGTGCTCCTCCTCCAAAAAGACCCTTAAAGAATCCTCTGTTAGGAGCTTCAGGCGTCTCCACTGGAGTAAACAGCTCACCTAGCATCTCCTGTTACACAATCCAATCATCATCATTATCGACATCTTCAACATCGTCATAAATACTGTGCAACAGAAGAGTCTAGAGAAGAACAGTTCATGAATATGTTTTGCTCACCTGTAAGTTCTCGCAGACCTCCTGGCTGTAGGTGATCCTCTGGATCTCAGTAGGGGAGGTCAGGTACAAGGCCTGGCCGAGATTGGTGAAGCAGAATGTTCTCGCTATCCGCATATCTGTCAGAGGTAGGTAATTTACATCCAGCAGTGGTCTCAACCCTGGCAGACTGAAACAGCATGACACAGAGAGACATTTCTTCAGCTCTGGGATTTCTCACCTTCTCTATTATTCAAGAACTGCAATGCTGAGACTGTGGCAGTTCTTATTTTGTCCTTCAAAATGCTCCATTAAATTACAGGGAACAAACATTAGGGACATTTGTAGATGATATCTGCACTAATACCCCCCAAGGTCCTCATGTTTGATGGTTAACTGTGACCTTCCTACTGACAAACACATACAGATGTTTGTCTGCCTTTCTCTCCTCTGAAGATTTATAAGCCAAAGCGATTCAGAGAGCAATACAGTGATTAGATCTGTGTTGGAATAGCTACAGGCCCCCTGGCTCTGACTTTGCTGAACAGTGGAGCAAGACGACAATATTGTATACTAAAAATAGCCTTATTTCCACATTTTTCTGCATGTGCTGCAGTATATCAATATCATGCTACAAACAATTCCTCACATCAGTGAAACAATCACCAGGTAATGTGCGGATAAACAAATCTTTAAAAGCTGACTGAGTAAAAGCAGTCTTGAATAGTGTAGCATTTAATATACTGTATGTTATTTAATATAAATTATTTACACTATGTTTAAAATGACATTACAGTGGTCTGTCAGTTAATAAATGCTAATAAATAAATAAAACATTTCTTGAGCCCTAAATCAGCATATTAGAATGACTTCTGAAGGATCATGTGACACTGAAGAATCAATTACAGTACATTTTAAAATATATTAGAATAGAAACATTTATTTTACACTGTAATAATATGTCACACCTTCACTGATTGTACTTTATATTTTTAAAATAAATAAATAAAGCCTGGTTGAGCATTAAGTGACATCTTTTAGAAACATTAAAAATAGTACCAACCTCAAACTTTTGAAAGGTAGTGTATGTATAATTGTTTTTAAATAAAATGAAAAAGTTTCCCATGTTTAGTCATGCAGCTTGCTAATTTGATATCTAATAGTGTAAAAATAAATATATAAACATAACATTATATAAAAATGTTATACCCTATAATAATAATAATACCTCTGTTTTCCTTTTCTTAATCATGGTAGATTAATAGATTTTTAAGTATTTACACATTCCAACACACAGTTCCAATTTAATGCATTTTAATCAACCCTCATCTGGCTTATGTTGAAGGGCATCTTCTCTTACCTGAGGGTCATGATGTGTCCATTGGCACAGAAGCAGGCCACACAAATGCCAGTGTTCATCTGTACCACATCTGCCCGCAGCACAAAAGATGTTTCGGTGATGCTGTGTTTAAATACACAGGTCTGAGAGGGCAGGGATATGACTTTGGCCTGTTTCTCAGAGCACACCACAGCATACTGGTTTTCATTCAGTTCCTGGGATGTGGATGGGGACACAGACACCGGCCGTCTCTTACGGGCCTTGTCCCGCTCCTCTCCGTTGGCCGGGGCGTTGGGTTCGTACCATGGCTCAAAAGCAGAAGGGAGTAGAGACCCTGTAGAATCTAGGAAAGCCATCCGGAGGATGCTACCCTTCAACCTGACAAGAGTACCTGTACAGAGAGGGTTGACATGTCAGAGTCAAACAACCAATCTTCAAATTAACGGAATAGTTGACCCAAAAATGTAAATCTGCTGAAATTTTCATCCAAGATGCAGATGAGTTTGTTTCTTCATCAGAACAGATTTGGAGAAATGTAGCATAACATCACTTTCTCACCAATGTATCCTGTGCAGTGAATGGGTGCCGTCAGAATAAGGGTTCAAACAGCTGATAAAATCATCACTAAAATAATCCACAAGTAAACCACATGACTCCAGCCCAATAATGAATGTCTTGTGAAGTGAAAAGCTGTGTGTTTCTAAGAAACATATTGTTATTTGATGGACTGAAGTCGTGTGGATTACTTGTGTATTATTTTGATGTTTTTATCAGCTGTTTGGACTCTCATTCTGATGGCACCCATTTACTGCAGCGGATCTATTGGTGAGAAAGTGATGCAATGTTAAATTTCTCCAAACCTGTTCCGATGAAGGAACAAACTCTACATCTTGGTTGGGCTTAGGCTGAGTACATTTTTAGCAAATTTAAATTTTTCAATAGTTCAGTTGAACTATTCTTTTAAATCTCTAATGTGCTAATTTACCACAAGGAGAGACCATGACTGGCTGCAGAAGCCTCTGCTCTCCAGCAGGGGGCATGTTGAGAGAGATTGCCAAGACTGTGCCCAAAGACGTGCCAACCCACAGACTAGGTGTAAGTCCGCCATCTGCTTTGCGGTTGTATGTCTCACAGAAATGGAAAGATGTGACGGCCTCTCGTGCTTCCTTGTCAATACTGGTCACACTGGAGCTCCGTGAGCGGCTGAAGGAGTTGTCCCTGTTGTCTAGGGGTATGGAACCCCGCGGGGGACATACAGAGAGTAGGACAGTAGAGAGAAAAACACAAAAAGGTAAAGCCCCCACTCCGAGATGACAACTGATAGATTAACATCATTGCTTTTTCCATATCTGTGTAACAAAACAGCCCCTTGGCCTTGAGCAGAATTAGGATCTAAATAAATGTTTTGCCTTTGTGATTGTGGTTTATGCACAAGTTAAAACATTAAATATCCTTCAGTGGTGAGAAAATGACCTTTGATGTGGGAAATGAGGCAGTCTCTCCAATGTGATGGAGACAAATGGTATTCCCAGGATTGGGATTACCAGATGCCCTATTTTCCCGGAACACTTACATATTTTAGACCCTTTTACCCGACCCCATTTATTTGAAAATTGGCCCTACTAGAACGTATTCTAAAATAAATCTGCATCTGGACATGTTAAAGGGGTCTGAAAATGGGACTATTCTGGGAAAAACTAGACGTCTGGACATCCTATCCAAGAAAAACAAACAAATAAATAAATAAATAAAAATAATGTAAGAGTGTGGCAAATGTAGTTTCCATTAATATAACATTATATCTACCTCACTGAAAAGATACATACCGTTCAAAATTCCGGTAAGATTTTCTAATGTTTTTGAAAAAAATAAAAAATAAAATGTTTTCTATTTTAATATATTTTAAAATGTATTTCTGTGATGGCAACGCTGAATTTTCAGCAGCCATTATGCCAGTCTTCAATGAGTTGCCAGTGAATGTATTGCTGTCCATTTGAAGTAAAGAGACTATATTATTTGTCTGTTTTAATATAGTACATAGAATAATACTTCCAGAAGCAATTAAGGACAATTATATTTGAAAAGATACATGGTCATTGTATTGTATATTAACTGTATCGTCAACACAAGCCATTTATTTCTTAATATTGTCAGTGCTAAAGAAAGTTGTGCTGCTTAATATTTTGTGGAAACTCTCATTATAGATGTAATTTTTGATCAATTAAATGCATCCTTGAAATAAAATAAAATAAAATCACTAATCCCAAACTTTTGAACAATTGTGTACATTTAAAACTTCCCTATTCAAAACAATGATCTGATATCCTGTCGAAGTTTATATATGGTAATAATATGTGAGGGGAAAATGATCTTCATATCAGCCCTATACATTTGATTTTCATTTAAAATCAGCCGATTCCAGAATGTACTCCTTGAGGGAATTCTCTTAAAAACACTGCTGCTGGAAACTGATGACAGAACTGAAATTGATACTGAATTAAATACCAGCAAATGCTGAACTGGCAAATGCTGACTTGTGTTATTCGGGATAAGAGTTAGGAAGACTGACAGAACACCCTGACTACATGAAAGTAATGCAGTGGTTTTGGCCATGCTTATGTGTACCATTTACATATGGAGACAATCACAAGCCTTTTGATAAACCAAGTCATACAGTCATGAGCCATATGTACCTGTATGTCAGGCCCAAGAATCAATACATAAGAAAATCAGCTTCAGATGGAACTTTTCTGATAAACTATATTTCATATCTCATGTTTCAATGTCAGAAACTCAGTATAAACTCTGAAAGTGTGGGAATTCTGACGCCACCTTAGTCTTTGGCTAACTGACGTGAGATGTTCAAAGCGAGTGAGCATGTGGACTCTCCAGTTTCTGATAATGTGCTGATGGACTCCACATTCAAAAGCTGTGTAGCATGAACACAAAGTCAAGGCTTACCCAAGTCTGGCTTTAGCTCAGTAGGCAAGCTTAATTTCCGTGACATCTTTGCTGGAAAAAAGAGAACACCTCTCTTTACAAACACATTGAAGCCTCAGTAAAAGCCATGCAATGCTTGAACTAGTTGTGTTCGAGAAAACACCAAGGCAACATAGCTAAAGGGTTTTTTAATCATCCTGAGGGACACAAATGCTTCAAACAGGACAAAGGAGACACTGCAATATTTTTTAGAGAGTCAGAGACAAACTGCATAATGCTGCATGCTGGACAAACAGTTCTGGGATGTAAAGCCCTGAAAGGAAAATAATTAACATCAGAACAGACAAAACAATCATTCTCAGCACCCCATGCCACAAGCATGCACCAAACAGGAGAATACAGAGTAGACATTACGGCTTATATGCATGATTTTGTACATTTTGTAAAATTTTGTATACCCTTGCTGCATAGGTATCTGTTGACTTATCGATTGTCTTTCATAAATAAATAAATTACTGGCAGATGAACGTGTGACCTTGTTTAACCTTAGCTGTTACATTATACATTTATTGTCCAGCAAAAATATCTAAACATTCTTAAAACAAGACAAATTTACTTAAGAAACAAAATTGCATAAAATCATCTTGTTTTTATTTGAATACTATTTTCTAATGTTCATTACAGCTTTAGATTCAATTTTATTAGATTTATTTTACAAGGTTTATGTTTAGTGATTAACTGAATATTATTAACTAAATGTTAAATATAAACTAAACGTTAAATGTAATTATTGTACTACATAGATTTTATTCTAATTTTTTAACACTACTAACCATGACCACTAAACATCCAATTTAATTTAAATTAAGCTTAAAATAAGACAAAACAAATATGTAATGTGGTAAGAAAAAAATTAAATATATATATACACTCTTATATATATACACACACATACACACACTCTTAAAATAAGTCTTATCTAAGACAGTTTTGCTTCTCAAATATATTTTTTCCCTTTAAGGAAGTTAAGATATTTTAAGTGGACAGCCAAAATAATCCCTAAAACAATTATTTAAAATGAAAGTGGGTTTTTTTGCAGTGTAATGAGCTCAGCAGTGATCAAATCATTAAGAAACCAACAAAACAAAACGGCCTTCACAGCTTGTCTATGTAAGAACAACTAAAGAAAACGAAATGGTCAATTACCCAAAACTATGTATCTGTTTCCTAATAGTACTCTACAAAAGCATTTATAAAGTGAATACCGTGGCTGGTTGCAATCCATCTAAATAAATGTGTATTTTTCTAAATCCTGTGCTGGGATGTACAGACATAAAGTGACAGGAAGTACAGGAAGACAACAAACCGAAAAACCTTATTTCCTACTGACAGACAATTATAGGACGCAGCCACTGGTGTGTGGCAAAAGAGAAACGCCTCAAGCAAGTCACCACAAGCACATTTCACCATGTTACATGCGTGCTACATGAACGTAGCATGCAGTGGGAATTTCCGTCAGGGTTATTCAGGTAACTGTTTCTAAGGACAGCTGCTTCCTCTGTTTTGTTCATACATAGAGACAGAGACAGCGTGGTTGAACAAAACCAGTGGAACCTCTTCTACACCGTCATCCAACCTTACCTCCTCTCCCTCCTCCATTGTAGAATTGCTGATGGTTTGACATGAAGACTTTTTGGGAGGAAGTAAAGCATATGAGCAGTTAGAGATATTTTACGCTTTTTGGGAGCCACATACAGCGCAGGAGAGCCATAACGTGAAAGATTATGTATCGACCTGGGTTGTTTTGTTTGTTATGCGTTTGGTTTGGCTTTCTGTGGCAGTCGCAGTCGCAGTCATTTGTTCTGTATCTGCCCAGTGTTACAGCAAGTGTATGCTGCTATTTGCACAATGATTACAGGGACCTTCTTTTAATATTTGATCAAACCACTTGCTGAGAGAAGAGCTGCAGAGGTCTGTGCTTTAACTGAAGGTTAAGTCATTTTGGAAACACTTTCTCATTCTGTTCTGACCTTTCGGAGAAAATTTTATCTCTATTTTGAGATCTGCCCCAGTCTCCAAGTGTGAATGTCACGCTCTTTGTAGAAGGAGTTTTTTAGGTTGTATTTGGCTTATCACGCCACCTTCAGCTGCGCTAAATGAACTAAAGAAAAAGAATGCAAATGCTTTAATATTACCTTGTCCTATCTGTGTTTTAACCTTAAATATTTTTGCATTTTATATTTGCATTCTATCCACAAAAAAACAAAGCTAATTTGAATAATGATGGCAAAATAATGCCCTTTTTCCCCACCCCAGAGAAAGATGTGATATTAAGCAAAGGTTAAGGATCTGGAGAAAAAAAAGGGTCTCCCTGGGACAGTGTTATTTATATTTGCATAACATGAATCTCTATGTGACACATCTACGATTAAATATTCAGTTACACAATTCAGGGACAGTATCTGAAAGCAATCAATACCTCATTAACTGCAGTCTAAAAGCACTCTCAACTAAGAGCGCTGTGTTTTACAGTGCATTTACAAGCTTTGGTTTTCTAGTAAATTTAGATTTAATGTGTCCTTTCCGCCCACAAAAACAGCTGTGTCTTGCTCAGAGTCTAAGCAGCTGCTACATTTTCAACTCTTTTGCACATATAATTTCAGAAACCACTTCCTAACAATTCATCCAGTGCGGTCAGTACCAATCTGAATGACTGCTGTGGAAGTTTCTTTTAGCAAATGCTTTGATACAGAGACAGTTTTGCTGAAGGGCACAATGGTGCTGCTCCTCAGGTCATGGATCACCCCTTCAGGGGTCTGAACCTATGACTTGCTTCTAGCTCAGATGTTTAACCACTATTCTCCCACCAGGCGTGAGCACCTTGTCACAATGTCAGTCACAATTACCATTCATCTCACTGCCAGCCATCATCAGTCATCTGTGGCCTTCGTGAACTTTTGTTCTCCTCCACAGACACACGCACAAAGTTTTATGATGTTACGTAAGGTGTGCCCTGTTAACACTGCCAATGATTTTCAGCAGAGGTTAGTTTAATACAGAGAGAATTACAAAATAAATGCACACAAGTGTATAATTGATTTTTGGTGTAATATGGATTAATTAGTAATGAATCTCAAAGGATTCACTCAAAAATCATTATGGACTCACCCTCATGTTGTTTTGTCAAAAAGAATAATAGTCTAATGTGTAAACATATCATTCAGGCTGGTTTTGTGAATTTGATTAATTAAATAAAAGAAAACTCATGAAGGGATGTCAAGATTTTCAGTAAATATTTTCAATGTTGATTTTTAGCCTCACACAAAACTACTGTAAGGCTTCAGAAGACCCGGGTCAGTAAGATTTCGAAATATTTTTTAATATTTAAAAAGATTTTTAAACTACTGTAAGGCTTCAGAAGACCCGGGTCAGTAAGATTTCGAAATATTTTGATACTGAAAGTCTCACCATGGCTGTATTTATTTGATCAAAATAAAACAGTAATATTGTGAAATATTATTAAAATGTAAAATAACTGTTTTCTATTTTAATATATTTTAAAAATGCAATTAATCATGTGATGGCAAAGCTGAATTTTCAGCAGCCATTACTTCAGTTTTCAATGTCACATGATCCTTTAGAAATCATTCTAACATGCCGATTTGATGCTAAAGTAACATTTCTTCTTATTATTAATGTTTAAAAAATATTAATGTTTTAAAAAAAATAAAAAATACATTGTATTTTCTAACAATGTATAAGTCTTTACTGTCACTTTTGATCAAATGAATGCATCCTTGCTAAATAAAAGTATTAATTCTTACTGACCCCAGACTTTTAAACAGCAGTGTACAGTTGTAGTCCTTTTCCAAGAAGAAATTAAGTCAATAGAGCTTTGGAACAACATGAAAATTAGTAAATAATGACAGAATTTTCATTTTTAGGTGAACTATCCCTTTAGTCCTGAACAGAGTAGTGTTGTCAAAAGTACCGATGTCGGTACTGACATTTTAAAAATGTGACAATACCAGCATTTCCTGCTAGCATTTTTAGCTTTGTTGTGTGGATTCTCAAACATTGGCCATTGTGTTCACGCACTCAACAGATATGTCTGTGATTGGCTACAAAGACCATTGCTTCACGCTCTTCACCAAGCGCTTACACAGATACACACAGGAGCATTTCAAAGAACGCAGAACTCAGAACTCTATCAGCGGATCCCTAATATATCTACTCATAGAGGGATCCGCTGATAAACACGGCTTTGATCATCGTAGCCAATCACAGACATATCTGTTGAGCGTGTGAACACAATGGCCAATCAGAGCTGTTTAAGAATCTGCTCAACAGTGTTTAAAATGCTAGAGGAAAAAGCTGGCATTGTCACATTTATAAAATTTCAGTACCGAATGGTACCGACATCAGTACTTTTGACAGCACTAGAACAGAGGATTTGACTGAACCGCTAAAACGCCCCCTGTGGAGCTCATATCATCTATGTTTCAGCAGACGCCAGTGTCAGGACTGATCGGTATGATGGTGGTAGGAGGCGGTATGGATTGTGGCATGCTCTGAGGGGCGTTTTACCTGAGGTGGGGGATTTGCAGCGATCCTCTGAGGTGGCTGAGCCCTCGCTAATGTCACAAAGCCCTGTAGAGAGAAAGAGAAACTATGTCACTATGGAAAGTGTGCCAGTGTGCTGTTACCTTGTGAAAAAGTAGTCTAAGATGTATTTTAGTAGACAGGACAATTGACTATACTCTTTAGTGTGAGGTGCAGTGTGTAGCCCTTGTTCTGATCTCAGAGTTGAGAGGCAGATGGGCAGACAGGAGCTGAACCCAGCTGCTCTGATCAGCACTATCCCTGTGCGCATATCCGACAGATCCCAGCCCCCCACTAAATATCACTCATTACCCCCCACACAAACACACACGTACACACTAGAAAATCTTACAACCAGTCCATAGCCTGATAGCCAAGTCCCAGCAATCATCTCTAGAGCCCTGCATTTCAGCCCGAGCCCGACGGGTCCCGACTTTTTTATGCCCCTCGGGCCGGGCTTCGGGCAAATTTTCACATCATAGTTCAGACGCGGGCCGGGACTCGTGCCTGTTTTAGGCTTCTCCTTATTTTTATATTTTAGACATCCATCAATTAGTGAAAAAAATTGCAGCGCTGGTGGAAACAACACAAGACCGTGCTAGGCTCAACGGTGTTTATTGTCCCGCCAGCAGCACTACGGTGCACCGTCAGCGCAGCTGAAGAGTTCTGCGTTCAAATGCACACAATAGGCTAAAGTTTGCTTCAAAGCACCGGCAAAAGTAATTACCATAAATAGTAAGGAGATATTTGAGTTATTTACTAATAAACTAGTGTTTTCTGAGTCGGTGTCGCAAGGACGAAGTTGCCGATCCTGACTCGCCATCTCCTCAGACATGCCTTTAGAGAGAAGTGCATCTTTACGGATTATGATTATAATGAAAGAGTTTTTGTTTTTGATTTGTTTTATTTCGTTAAGTAGTAATTTAAAGCTTTCTATAGATATATTTATCATGTCTGTGAGGCATGTATTCGCTGAGTATCGGTTCATTTTTGTGAAGCGCTCCTGTTCAAGATGAGACGGCAGAAAGCGCATCATGGTTTTTTTCTTTATTTTATAAAAGCACAACGTTTTGTTGATATTGTGAGTGCACACAAATAAAAGTAGACCCTTTACAGTTACGAATGATGTATTACTCTTACCTTTATGAGCAAAAATGACAGCGTATCCACTGAAAAAAATGCAAGTGATCGCGCTGGCGCCTCCATGTCCTGCAAAGTGTCTCCGCACAAACTATTGGATATAGCGCACATTTATCTAGGTTTAACGTTTAAACATTGTTATATGCTTGAACTGTTTTATATCTATAGATTTTATTTTAG